AAATTATTAAAAAAAAATCAAAATAGCATGTACCTGCCTCTTTTCACACCGATGTAAAATTCTTTCTGGTGGTATTTCCCTCCTCTCTTCCGTCCGTATGTAAACGCAGACAGGGGCGTCTGCAACACGTACCGAATGCCCAGTGGTTACTTCTAGCTACAGGGGTGGTGGATGATGTGCGGCTGCTGTCTACTTTTGTTTTTTTGAACTAATGTGTTAGATGTGAAGGGAGTGGTCTGACAGGGAGAGGGTCCAGGTGAGGTGGGAGGGCTCCTGGGAGTGGGGTGCTGAAGCCTGGGGTTGGGGTGTTTCAGGGGCCAGAGTGGGAGGGGGAGCCAAGCCTTTGCTTCATTCTGGAACAGTTCAAATACAGAAGGGTGGTTTCCCCACAAAGCGACCCCTTGGGAAACAGGGCGCTGCCTTCCGTGTGAGTCCTTGTACCGCGGCTCTCAGGTGACAGCCACACACTGCTGGGAGAGAGGCCTGGGAGCCAGAAGCAATGCTGATGGAGGCCGTGGGACAGCGCCAGCTGAGGGGCGTAGTTCAGAGTTAGCCCTTACTCCAGACTAGAGCTGCACACCTGCAAACTCACATTGGGTGTCACTGTGACTCACCCTTTGGAAAATCCCTTAAAAATGCCGTGGGTGGTCACACTGTACAGTGGGGACACACGCACCCAGGGCGGAACCCAGCAGCACCTGACAGAGCACTGTCCTCGGCTCCGTCCTCGGGCTTGGGAAGAAATGGTTCCTAAGACAGCACATCCTAGATGGGTTTTTACATCACCGGATGAATCTCAAACAACGTAGCTGGAAGTCAGGTCACGTGCATTGGGTGATTCAAAATGGGGCAACGTAGACGCTGATGTGAACTCAGGAAACCAATAAATATTTTATATGCAATTTAAAATGTGTTAGCAGGGGCAGTGCTTGGGGCACATGTGCCCCCCCCCCGGACCCCACCCCGCCCTCCCCGGGGCCTGGGAGGAGGAAAGCACTCGCACCAGACCCCTGATCCGCAGCCCCAGAGGCCTTGGCACACCTCGGGCCCTATCCTTGAATCCCAGCTTTCTGGGGCTTAATTAGAACAGCTCAGGGACGCCCCAATCCCCATTCAGGAAGGACACAGCACCACGGAGACTTCCCGCAGATCTCTCGAGTGGCCACCTCTAATGGGGCTGCCGCTCTGGGAGGCTGGGCTCCCAGGAAGTAATGGAAGATGCCGGGCAAAGGCCATTAGCTGGACCTACTGCTCATCCCATCATTCGTGCTCTAAGCGCCACAGCAGGGCTAAAAGGAAACAGGGATTCAGATTCTGACTTTTTTTCCTATATTCCCTGGTGGCTTTTGAGGAACCTCATAAATCACCTCAGTCAGATCCTGGGGATAACTCAGATACCAGTTTTCAAGGAGGCCGACGTGCTCCTTGCAGACCAAGCTGGGTGCTGCTTTTATTTTATTAATTTTTTATTTTTATTGGGGAATTGGGGGATGGGAACAGACAAGTTGCTGTCCTTTTGTTCTTCAGTCTAGTTGTGGAGGACGTCGCTTCACTGGCCCAAGTTGGCACCATCGTTGTGCTCTTCCCCGGGCGAGGCAAATCAATCGCCGGCTTTTGGACGGCCGCTTACGGCAGCTGCTGGCTACACACGGTAGCCCATGGCAACCCACTGCCACAGGGGCTGCAGCCCACTCCATCGCCAGTGACTCACGGCAGCCCAGCTCCAGGTTGAGCTGTTGTTCAGCATCTTAGCTGTAGAGGGCAGTGTCACTGGCCCTCATATGTGGGATCCGAACCGGGGCCCTCTGGCGTCCCAAGCCAGCTCTTAACCAATGCTGGGTGCTGCTTTTAAGCAGAGTTCCCCAGAGCACTGAAAACCAGTGGCAGGAATGGGGTGGGGGGGGGACCCTGTGGGTGTCTGACACATACTTCTCTGTTCACATGCTATCTACACCTTCCTTCCGGCTTTTGTTTTGCTGGGTGGAGGCCTGAGGTTGGACCTCACCCCATTTTCCCCCAGCCAGCTCCAGTTGAGCCCCCCCAGGCACTGCCTCTCTGCTCCTGGACCCTCATAGGAGAACTCGTGGCAGGCTTGTGCTGGGCGTCTGATGCACTCTGCACTGTCACAGATTCCACAGGGCTCAGCTCCCCGGGCTTCAGTCTTCCAAAGAAGCATTTGCTAGCATGACACGCAGTGATCAGGCTGCACAGACGGGCTTGGGCAAATGCTGGAGCCAGCAAACAGGGCACAGGTTACATCCAGAACTTAGGGGCAGGCAAGCAGCCGCGTGGAAGGAAAGTCACAGATGCACCTCGTTCCATGCGACAGAATATCGGAAAACAACACTTTCCTATAATAGCAAATACTGGATAGAGCAGAAAATAGATTTCCTAGAAATCAACTGTTTTTTCTTTTTTTTGTCATTGGCATCTGTGTTTGATTCCTAAGTAAATTATTCCTCCCCTGCTTCTTAAGTTAAAATGAAATAGGATTTGGGGGAATACGTTCTCCCCTCAAAAAACATATTTTTGTTTCTTGATGCTCAAGTCCTCACTCACGTAAAGGAAGAGAAATTCAAGAGACGAGGTGTCAGTAGATCCTGGCTATAAACTGATGCCTGAGCCACCACCGAGCAAACTGCCAGGAGCCCAGGAAAGGGGGCGGGGAGTTCCTGCAGATCAGCTGACACGTGCAGCGTGAAAGCAACCCACACCTGGAAGTGCTTAAGTGACAGGTTTACAAGGTGCAAAGCACCTTTTACTTATAAAGGCCAGGAACAAGTAACGGGGGTACCTCCCCAAGGCTCATGTGGGAACGATACTAAGTTAGGCTACTTCTAAACGTGGGCCTGCTCCTCTCTCTCCTGAGCCACCTGGGGGATTCACGGTTCAGCTTCCAGACACCGCGCTTTCTCTGGCGGTGATCAGCTGCTCTCAGCCCTCGGGGACGTGTCACCTCTCTGGTCCTCCCTGAGCCACAGGAGAGCAGACGCTGCCTCCAAAACCACAGGAGGGGTTTTGAAGGAGCTCAGGTGGGTTCTAACGGGACCTCATTTCATTAGGATCTTGAAGGCTAATGGGCTTTCTGCACGGCGTTCATTTCTCAGAAAGGAAGCCAAGCTCTGCGGGGCTCGTCTTGGTGGAGCTGAGCTAGGTGGGCCTACCTTTCCTAACGCCAGGATGAAGGCTCTGGTCTGACGGCAGGAGCACAGCCCTCACTTCCTCTTCAGGTGACAAAACAGACATTCAGCAGCCAGCACAGCCAGCGTGAGAGGGCCACTTGTCTACTGCAGTCCCCCATCACCACACAGGTGAGCCAGCAAACCAAAGCCCCACTTTGTCCCCCTCAGCGAGCACTGGCCCAGGGCCCCCCACCCGTCGGAGGCCTGGGGCACTGCGGGCTGGGCTGTCCTGTCTGGGGCCCGCCCCCTTCCCCGGTGGGGACATCTCCCAGCCCCACTCACTCCACACAGACACCCGTAGACAGCTCCCTGTGCACCAGCTGCCGCCCGGCCTGCCCGACAGCCCTCACATCCACCGTGGCTCCTGCTGCAGCCTCTTCCTGCTCATGTCTCGGGAGCCCCATGGTCTTCTCAGCCCGTGTCTGCATCCAGTGGGTGGATGAGAACCAAGGGCAGCGGGGCCACGGCAGTGCCTGGATTCATGTGTAATTGACACGCCTTCAGAAAGATGACAGAAGTCCCTGTCCCGGGTGACAGGAACAGCATCCTATGAAGGCCCGACAGCCAAGACAGGTCTCGAGGGGGAGTGTCCCTGAAGACCAGGACAGCACCTGCTCCGGAGGAGGAATGGGTGGCACAGCCCCACCAGCCCCCGTCAGAACCTAGAGGCTCATGAGCTCTTCCTCCCAGGGGCCCCGTCCAGCTGCACTAGCCAACAGGTGGGGCACTGCCCACCTGCCACTCAGCCCAGCCAGGTCCTGCTAGTTTAGGGTATTTGGGGGGGAGACAGGGTGTGCTTTTGCAGAGCTGGACCACCTACACGGCCTCGAAGCAAACAGCTTTGCTGCTGTCAAGTTCCAGGTGACGTGCAGGTGCTGCTCAGTCAGGGCAGCATGACCACGTGAGCCTCTCCACCCAGAGCGCAGGGCCTGTGCCTTTGGGGCACCGAACGCCTGAGGCCACGGTCCCTTTCTCCGGCTCATGTTCGCTGGGTCCAGTCTTCTCAGGGACATCAGTCTTGCTGCCGCCTGAAGCCCTGCCCCCAGGCTCACCTTACCCACTGCTCACCCACAGGGCCCCCCTCAGCCTCACCTGGGGGTCCTGAGCGCAGTATGGGGGCCAGTCTGGTGGGCACAGTGGAAGGTGGTCTCTCTAGGCCCAGGCCCCACTCCTGCCCTTCCCTGTGCCACTGCCCCCTAGAGCCCCAGCCCAGCCATGGGCCCGGCAAGCACGCCTGGCACTGGGCATTCTCCAGGGGACAAATGCAGTGTCTGAGGGCCGCAGGGCAGGCTGTCCCTACAAAAGGCCCTGCGCACTGGACGTCGGCTGGAGTCAGGGCTTGGGGTACATCATTTACTGAGTAGCTCAGGCTGTTGCTTTAATCGGCCAGCAGTGGCCCCAGGGGCTCGGCCCAGAAACCACTCACCGTGCTCAGGGGCATGTTCTTGGAAAACTCAAGTCCATGTGCCCGCCTTGCCCATCTCAACTCTGCCCGTGGCCTGGTCCCTACAGCCCGCCCCCGGCCCCCGCCTGAGCAGGGCCTTGTCCTTCAGGCCCAGGCAGGGCGCCCTGATGGCGCTCTGTGTCCCCTCAGGACCCATCACCTGGAGCTCCTGGCAGTGAACAGCGACACAGAAATGCCCATCTGGGGATGAGGGGTGGGAGCAGCGGCCCAGGTGCTTGCCTGGGTTCATTGGCTCCTGTGGGTCTTTAGCTCTGAGCCCGGCACCCAGAGCATGTGGGTCAGGTCACCTGGGGACAGACCCGGTGGATGACACAAGGGATGACGAGCAACGATTCAGCCAAGTTACCGATCAGTCCAGTGGGAGTAAGAAAATTGATTTGGCAGCTCACAGACCAGATAAAGATTCAACCAGCCAGGTCCCCATCTTGACTTTTTTCCAGGTCAAGGCCAAGGTGGCCAGTCAGTTGCTGTAAAAACGCATCTTTGCGGGGCTCCCTGGCTTCCCCCCAGCTCTGGGTGATGTGTCTGTCTGGCACTAAAATCACCATGTGAACCGCAGCTGGAGATGAGGGGGCGATGCAACCACCCACCCTCCCCAAAGACAAGGCGAAGGCGTTCAGGACTCCTAACAACCAAACAAGCAGCGCGGACGAGAAAGCCGGGGGAGGAGTGGAGGTGGGAAGCGGGCACTGTTTGCTCCAGCAAGACCGACTGCTTTCCCGTTTTATGTGTTGTCTTCCCACATGTGCTTTGTCCTCTGAACCTAACCTGCCCCCAACAGACCCCACACGTGAGCTGCACCCATGGGGACCTAGGGCAGGGGGACACTTTTCTTCACGGCCAGCGATGGGGCAATGACAATTTCGTCAGAGTCGTCGGAGCTGACGTCTTCCGTCTGTGGAGGCACCACGGGCTGCAGCCCCGAGGGAGGGGACTCGGCTGAAACGAACCAGAGAGGGAGATGGGTCACACCAACTGCCCAGGGCCAGGCCCCGTTTCAGGGCGCCTGCCTGGACACTGTACCCCTCGCCTCTTCCCTGGCAGGCAAGCCCATCGTCACACCCCAAAGCAGGGCCCAGACCTTCAGAACCGGCTTCACGCCAGCCACGAAGCTGCCCTCACTGCTTCCTGGTCACACCCACCTCTCTAGTCTCCGAGCTCAGCTCTGGACAGTTGGGCCATTTCCAAAAAGCAAAGCACCTGCAAAAGGTGAGGACTTGCTAGCCCAGAGGGGACGTAAGTCTGCAGGAGGAATTCTCTGAGCCGTCCTCACAGCAGCTTCCCCGGGGGCTGGGCCCGCCTGGCGACAGCTGAATTCTGTGCCAGTGGCCACCAGCTTCCTTGTAAGAACACGTCCCCCCAGGTGGGGGAGGCAGGACCCAACCAATGGCGACTTGGGAGCTTCCAGGCTGTTTCACCACTGCCCATCTCTGCTCCTCTCTTCGTGCTCAGCTAAACTGTTCAAACCCTTTAGTCTGTGCTAGAATGAGACGCCACCTGCAGACCGCACGGGGAAGGGCGACCCCAAATGCCTCCTTGGTCCTGGGGCGAGGGGTGTGAGGGACCGGTCCACACCACATTAGCAGCCCTGGAGAAGGGCCTTAGTCTTATTCTTTCATAAAATGAAAGTAAAAAAGTAACCAATGATGTGAGCTAGAAAAGGGAAGGAAGTTTACTCAGTGCTGCAGGTACTGTAACTGCATTGGCTTTTTTTCTGTAACTTTCAAGAAAATTCGTATTAAAGTGGAATCCTAAGACATCAAAAACATCAGTTTTCAAGGTTATCTTCAGGGTTTTTCTTTTTTCCTTAAAATACTATGATCAGATAAACGAGGGCTTGCCTGGCGCTCTCACACGGACCCATTTCTGGGAGTGATCACAAGGGCGCGCCGTGCGCTCTGCTTGCAGACGAGGGCGAAGCTGAGCCTTAAAATTACACATTCAACCAGAGGAGCGCAGGGCGGCATCACGAACACGTTAGCCCTGATCCGGGAATCAAAAAGTCGCCAATCGCAGCGGCTGGAGAAAGTGGGACAGAACGGGTTTTCGGAGCCCGTAACACCTGGGGGAGCCCAGAGGTTCCAGCAGGGCCCCTCTGGCTTTGGGGCTCCGCACGTCTTTCCTTCGAGTCCCAGAGCTGAGCTTTACAAATGGAGGTTTTGGAGAGAATAGCGAAGCTCAAAGCTTGCTAACTCTGGCAAAGCTGGAAAAAGTGACCAAAGTGGATAAAATGCCGTTGCAAATGTAGTGACTTCCAGGTGAGACAGGGTGTAACCT